CACATATTGTAAATTTTGTCACATGAAAATATACTGTAGAGATGAAAAGTTGCCTATATTTCTTATCAAACCAAGCAAATTCTTTTCTCTCCTTGGTCTCTCTTTTCATCAACCCCTCTCTTCTCAGAGGATTATACCCAGCTGCCTTCAAAAAGGTTTTACTATTTATAGGAGCCAAGCATCTTCCTTGTCTTCCTTCTCCTGCTTCTCATTCTTGTGTCACAGGCTGTTCTTTTCTGGATTTGGTTAGATGTTTCCTCAGAGGTGCAGTTTTCTTAGAACACTGAGTGTCTCTTTCCTAAAACTTGTTATCATCCTAGGTTTTACCTAAATTTTGGGAAATTTCCTAAATAAAATCTAATTTTTAAAATAAAATGCTATTTTCCCAAATTTGATGGTGCTTTTGTAAAGGCAAGTGTAGGTGTGGAAATAACTCTGAGCTGAGTGTGTACATGTATTTCTCCACACAAGGCCTATATATGTTTGTGTTTTACAGCTAGAGTCATAGGAAATTAGTGTTAATATAAAATAAAAGTCATAGGAATGAGCTGGGCAAATGAGAAAAATAAAATGTAAAGAATACCATGAAGTAAATAAGGAAAACTGGTCACAGATAATAAAGCTAAATAAACTTTCAGAACATTTTTCTGCTTGTATTAATAGGACAACTACTAATAATATGATGAAAACCCATTATTCTATCCCTTGACATAACTACTAGTAATATTGATCATATTACTTTCAAGAAATTTTATATTCATAAACCTACACATTTAAATTGCATTTAACATCCCTATCCTTTTCCCTAAAATGTTGCTTTCAACATTTTCTGTAAATTATCTCGTTTACGTACCTAATTCCTTTGTTCAAATTTTGGATCATTTCCATAGGATTTATTCTAAAAATTGTAATTATTGGGTCAGAGGGCAAAAGTAGGGTTTCCCAAATGGCTCAATGGATGAAAATCCATTTGGAGCAACTAAGCCTGTGAGCCACAACTACTGAGCCTGTGCTCTAGAGCCTGGGAATTGCAACTACTGAAGTCTGAGTGCCTCAGAGCCTGTGCTCAGCAAGAAGAGAAGCCTGCACACAGCAACAAAGACCTGGCACAGTCAATAAATAAGTGAATTAGAAAAAGAAGGCAAAAGCATTTGTTGGACTTTAACTTCCGGAGCGGCTGTTCAAGTTTCTATCATTACCAGAGAAGTATGCTTTTCAATAAGAACTTCTCTGATTACATGAACATTATTCACATTAATGACTAATGTTAGTCATTTTAATTTTTTTTTGGCGATTTTTATACTCATGCCTTTTAATATGAAAGTATTAAGATTTTAACTACTAATTGTATGGATTCTTTAAATACCAAGAATATTAACATGCAGTTTTGCTGTAAATAGACTGCCCAGATTATTGCTTTCTTTGGTTTTTAATTTTATGAATGTTTGATCTTCTTTTAAAACTTTATGTCCTAAAATGCATTTATAATTTTACTCAGATTTTCTACCATCCTTTTTAGGTTTAAAAACGCTTCCTTTTCTAGAGACCAAAAAGATACTGGTTTATTTTCTTCTACTGCTTGATGGTTTGAGTTTCTGCATGATTAAGCATAGTGTTTAAGAACACACACTACTTTTATTTAATCACTGCCTCCAAAACTATGTAGCTGAGTGACTTTGGTTAAGCTCTTTCAACTTCAGCTTCCTCATCTGTAAAGTGGGAATAACTACAGCACCATCACAGGTGTTATAAGGATTAAATAAAACAATTTCTGGGAAGTATTTTTAACAGGGCCTAGTACATACTAATACTTAATAAATGGTAATAATTGTAACAACAGACTTTTTCCAAATAGGAAAAGGAGTATGTCAAGACTGGATATTGTCACTCTGCTGATTTAATGTATGTGTAGAGTACATCATGAGAAATGCTGGGCTGGATGAAGCACAAGCTGGAATCAAGATTGCNATTGAAAGCAGGAGGAGAAGGGACGACAGAGGATGAGATGGTTGGATGGCATCACCGACTCAACGGACATGAGTTTGAGTAAACTCTCGGAGTTGGAGACTGACAGGGAGGCCTGGTGTGCTGCAGTCCTTGGGGTCACAAAGAGTCAGACACGACTGAATGACTGAACTGAACTGAAGTGAATAATTGTAACTAATATTGTTGATATGTAGCACAAGATAAGCTGTTAGCATGTTTTTTCCCCAGATGGTACATAACACTATTTGTTGATGAGTCTTTCCTTTTCCCATTACAATCACAGTGATTCCAGCCTCTATTATATTATTGTATACTTATTTTAGTGATTTCAGCCTCTATTATATCCTATTATATCCTTGTACACTTTGAAACCTGTTTCTGTTTCTTGCACTGATTTGTCAATGTATTTATGGGTATATACCACATTGTTTCACAATTGTAGCTTTATAACACTTAAGAATAACATTTAGGAAGAATTTGCATATAGGAAACACAATTTTTTAAAAAATTGTCATGATTATTTTACATATCATAAGTATTGTATTATCTAAAATTGATGTTATTGGGGTGCTAGGAGTGGGAATGGCAGAGTGAGAACTCATTAGTGAATAAAATCCAGATTATTTGCTTGCTCATATTTTCAGACATGGTCACAAGTAACAATTATTCGTTAAGTGGAAGTGATACAGTGATTACTTATGGTATGTAAATATTTGTATGTAGCAGTCTTTAACATCTGATGTGATGCAGAAGAAACCTATATAGACCTCAGGTTTTCCTGACAATCACTGCGAATCCTAATTATTCATGATTTTATTTATGATCTTTGTGTTTACCATTGCTGTGTTTATAATTTTTGTCAATACCTTTCTGCAACTTAAATGCTAATGAAATTTTCTTTGTTTTGATTTCACAATAAATTTATTTTTAATAATACCACTAATTTTTTTAGTGTTTCACAATTATTATAACCATACATTTATAACAAGGATATCATTTTAATTTTCTACTACCAATGGAATGAGTATCTTTATGGTTTAACAATAAAAGTTTTGGTCCTGAAAACTAATTGTAAATGATAAATAACAGAATATCTGTAAACACTTACACTGTTCTTTAAGAAAGTGGGCCTTTTATTTCTATATTGATGGGACTTGGGTGCTCTGATAAAGTGATTGTTAGAATGTGAAAGGAAAAATGAAGACCTCTTCTAAATTGTAGGTAAACCACTTAAATAGGCCATTAAACAGCATTTGCCAAGGATTATATATGCATGCTAAGTTGCTTTAGTCGTGTCCAACTCTTTGTGACTCTATGGACCATAGCTCGCCAGGCTACTCTGTCCATGGGATTCTCCATGCAAGAATACTGGAATGGGTTGCATGTCCTCCTCCAGGGAGTCTTCCTGCTCCAGGGATTGAACCTATATTTCTTATGTCTCCTGCATTAGCAGGTGGGTTCTTTACCACTAGAGCTACCTGGAAGCCCTCAAAGGACTGTATTCAATATAAAAGAGCACCACAGAGTTCCTAATTTCATTTTTTTATAATTCCCGTTATAAAAATGAGAAGATATATAAAATACCTTCTAGAAATTCATGGAATTTAGAAGGACCTCTTTAAAGAAGTCTTGACATCCATGTTTGAGAAGAATGTGTTTCACAATTATTATAACCATACATTTATAACAAGGATATCATTTTAATTTTCTACTACCAATGGAATGAGTATCTTTATGGTTTAACAATAAAAGTTTTGGTCCTGAAAACTAATTGTAAATGATAAATAACAGAATATCTGTAAACACTTACACTGTTCTTTAAGAAAGTGGGCCTTTTATTTCTATATTGATGGGACTTGGGTGCTCTGATAAAGTGATTGTTAGAATGTGAAAGGAAAAATGAAGACCTCTTCTAAATTGTAGGTAAACCACTTAAATAGGCCATTAAACAGCATTTGCCAAGGATTATATATGCATGCTAAGTTGCTTTAGTCGTGTCCAACTCTTTGTGACTCTATGGACCATAGCTCGCCAGGCTACTCTGTCCATGGGATTCTCCATGCAAGAATACTGGAATGGGTTGCATGTCCTCCTCCAGGGAGTCTTCCTGCTCCAGGGATTGAACCTATATTTCTTATGTCTCCTGCATTAGCAGGTGGGTTCTTTACCACTAGAGCTACCTGGAAGCCCTCAAAGGACTGTATTCAATATAAAAGAGCACCACAGAGTTCCTAATTTCATTTTTTTATAATTCCCGTTATAAAAATGAGAAGATATATAAAATACCTTCTAGAAATTCATGGAATTTAGAAGGACCTCTTTAAAGAAGTCTTGACATCCATGTTTGAGAAGAATTGTGGAAAGACTTTGAGACACTTGATGGGTTTTTCAGAGCTGGATGAAAGGGCACTTCTATTGTCTTCTTTTTAGGAAGACTTTCAAGCATAGATTAGAATATAATTCTGAGTACTCATTACTCTGTTCAAGGAATCAAGCTTTAGAAATATAATTGAGCCATATCTTTTTTTTTCCAATGAGAAATCTACCACTGAAAATACAGAGTTTGGATGTCCTAGAATTTCCTTTTCCAAAGTTCATTCCATCTAACATATTCCTTGGGCTTCTCTTTGCCATAAGGATGTCAAATGGATAAAGCTGGCAACATGCTCTAGGTGCAGGTGGCCTAAACCAAAGACGGCTAATAATCAGCAACTGTGGAAAGTAATTCTGAGCAGTACAGCAAGACTGGCAATAGTTTAATTCCTGGGAACCAACGAACCACTGTCGTGGGCAACCGCTCTCAAAACTCCTTGAGTTCTCTTCTTTCTGAGAAAAATACTTCTCTAAGGAAATGGCAGCCCACTTCAGTGTTCTTGCCTGGAGAATCCCAGGGACCGGGGAGCCTGGTGGGCTGCCGTCTATGGGGTCACACAGAGTCGGACACGACTGAAGTGACTTAGCAGCAGGAGCAGCAGGAATCCCAACAAAAGAGTGAGGAGCAAGAGCCACATTACCTGTCAACGCTTAGAGCGCAGAGATTAAGGACGGTGATCCCCACTGAGGACTTCTGCAAAAAGGGGAACAGCTTGCAGAGGAAAACGCCAAAGTCATTTTGTTCAAAAGGCCAGCGCCCAGCCAGCAGCTGAAAAAAGGAAAGAGCGTGTAAGATAAATGGCAGAGCCAGCATGGGACATTTGGACACACGTTTCTAATCACACTTCTAGACTTGTAAATTTTATCATTTATGATGCTTTTCGGTTGGAGTGATAACAGGAGATTATTATCATCATTATCTTTTCATATTTTAATGCTTCAGCAAGTTTTTTTTAACCCTGAAAGATGTGGAGAATGATAAATATAATAACAAGAGATAAATCTTTGATCTTACAGGAAGTGGTCACGCGGCCTACTTTTCAGAGGAGCAAAAGTTGGGGGTTTGGATGACAGTTTAACCAAGAAGCAGGAAGTCATCTTTGAGCAGTTCTTACAAAGTCATGAGTTAAATGAGTCATTTTCAACCAGTGGCATTGGGAGATTATATTCACTCCTGACAAGCAGCCAAAGCTCTGAATAAGATGTTATGGAGAATACTGGGAAAATGAAGCGGTTTAGGATATACTGGCTTTGCCAGCTGGCTAACACCTAAAATCACTTGAAACTCACCCTTTCCTCTGTGCTTAACAGGCTGCCTTGCCTCAGCAGGTATGACACCAGTGACCTATCTTTGTTTAGGCTAAGATTTCTCTCTTTATCACACAGGAAAACGTGGTTACTGGGACCAGTTTGTAGTGTTTGCAGGAATGTCTATTCTTCCAGGTTGACAATTTGAAATTTTTGAAATTCTAAGGAAAGGGTGATGACCCTCTAGTGGCTGTGAGAAGTAGCAAGAACACAAGTCCACTGTGAGTTGCTGGTACTCATCTACTTAGATGAATGGGCTAGAAGCATGGGCTTAAGTAACAGTGCAGCTATGTCAATGGAGGGAGGAAGTCCCAACTGAATATATGATGCCTTTTTAAGAGCAAAAATGGCATTGATTTCCTTTCTAATGTTTGCTTAGTGACTCAGAACTTAAACTTACTCTACTCAACAGGAAATAATACCATGCTAACTTGACAAAATTTCCTTTTTTTTCCAAAGTACCCATTGCCATACGAACTCTAAGTTGACCTTCCAATGTTATTCTACCATGTCTAACACACTGAGGATTAATTTCATGGCTGGTGTGGTCATTAATAGGAGTCCATGGAAAGAGGTTGGGAAACTTTTACCCCAGAAATACAAAATCAGAACATATGCATTTTGAAAATTTAATAACATAGGGCTCTCTATAATTATATTTTTTATGGCTAAGATTCTGTATGACTTTTAAACATATTTCCTCCCTCGCTTTTTTTGTATTGTTTTCTGAAAGACCTTTTTCTTCAATCCAGTCCTGTCTCAGATATCTTTTCCCTCTCATTCTTACTGGTCTTGCTTGGTGTCTTCTTAGAATTTCCATATAAACTCTTGTCCAGGGACAACCAGTGAACTCTTTACAGAAACAGTTCCCTAAACACTTTCAGTTCTCATGAAGCTAAAAAATAATTATACCATTGCTGATTGCTAGTTATTAATGCCTGATGCAAGTAAAGACACAAAACATTATTTCTGGGATGAATCACTCCCTAAAAAGAAGACCTGAAAATTACTTTTTATAGGATGAGAGTTTAGTATTTTGTTCCACAACAGTAATTCTCCACTAAAGACTAGAGAGATGTAATTTAAACATGTAGGAATTGTTATAGGATAAGGTTTGAAACAGTTGAACTGTTATGGTTGGATGGTTGGTTTATTCCTGGAGACAGAAGATCCTGAAATCCATGAGAACAAATTTTCCAATTCATACATCCAACAAGAAGAGAAAAGGATGTTTCTGGCTTTAACAAGGGAGACTCTGAAATCCTGTGAAAGTATTCAGTAACAAGCACTAAGGAAAATGATCTGGAAAACCCTATAGCGCATGGTTTCAGGCTCTTCCAATCTCAACTGAAAAAGATTTTGGGCTTCCCAGGTGGGGCTGATGGTAAAGAATCTGCTTGCCAATGCAGGTGACATAGGAGAGTTGGGTTTGATCCCTGGGTTGGGAAGATTCCCCAGGAGAAGGGAATGGCTACCCACTCCAGACTCTTGCCTGGAAAATTCTATGGGCTGAAGAGTCCATAGGGTTGTGAAGAGTCGGACACGACTGAGCACAACAATAACATGAGACAACAATGCTTACTTAAACCCTTAATTAGGGTTAACAGTAAAGGAAGAGCTCAAGAGAGAGATATCAGTTCAGTTCAGTTCAGTTCAGTTGCTCAGTCATGTCCGACTCTTTGAGACCCCATGAACCGCAGCATGCCAGGCCTCCCTGTCCATCACCAACTCCTGGAGTTTACTCAAACCCATGCCCATCGAGTTGGTGATGCCATCCAGCCATCTCATCCTCTGTCGTCTCCTTCTCCTCCTGCCCCCAATCCCTCCCAGGATCAGGGTCTTTTCCAGTGAGTCAACTCTTCGCATGAGGTGGCCAAAGTACTGGAATTTGAGCTTCAACACCAGTCCTTCCAGTGAACACCCAGAACTGATCTCCTTTAGGATGGACTGGCTGGATCTCCTTGCAGTCCAAGGGACTTTCAAGAATCTTCTCCAACACCATGGAACTGTTATTGTTTAGTCGCTAAGTTGTGTCCGGCTCTTCTGTGACCCCATGGACTCTAGTCCACCAGGCTCCTCTGTCCATGGGATTCTCCAGGCAAGAATACTAGAGTGGGTTGCCATGAGCTTACCTACTCAATCTCAAGTAGGATCTGCCTGTTAACCTCTTTCATGGAACCAATGTTGGAGTAAGTTTATACTCAAAGACTCCTTTCAGACAACTCTGCCTTAGCAAGAAAACATATACAAAAGGAAGGCAAAGAGACATAGAGTGTAGCCCACCTATTTTTCTCTTATTTAGAGGAGTCATTTTGGAGCTTAAGAAAGGCTACTGGAAATGCACACTTTCTGTTATTTACTAGCATATAAAATGGAAAATACAGTATTTAAAATTGCAAAAGTTAAGCTGTATAAAAACTTATATAATGAAAAGGAAGTCACTCTTCTATTCAAGAACTCTAAATTCCCTGCCCAAAGGCAGTCACAGTTAATTATAAAGTGTGTTTTCTTCCAGAAAACTCCCTCTGTACATAAAAGCATATGCCATTTTTTTAAAAAGTGAGAACATATGGAAATAATATCTCTCAGCAGTCTTTTATGATCTTTTTTTTTTTCCTAGAGCAGATTTCTGAGAACTGGTTCTATTACCTAATTAAAAGGTTTTGATTTTTAAAAGCACGTTGAGGAAAACAATTTAGACTCATTGGAAAAGACCCTGATGCTGGGAAAGACTGAGGGCAGGAGGAGAAGGGGACAACAGAGGATGAGATGGTTGGATGGCATCACCGACTCAATGGACGTGGGTTTGGATGGACTCCGGGAGTTGGTGATGGACAGGGAGTCCTGGTGTGCTGCGGTTCATGGGGTCGCAAAGAGTCAGACACGACTGAGCGGCTGAACTGAACTGAACTGAGGAAAAGATAAAGAACTGTTTAGCATAAACAGACCATGGTAAAAGAACTAGTTGATTTCATTACCATTAACAAGTAATTAACAATTTAATGAAAGAGAAACCAAACCAGTCTGACAAACTAACAAGTCTGATTGGTTCAAGGGTTAATCTGGCACCTTGGAGCAGTCACAGCTTATTTTTGCCATAAAAGAGTCTGTGCTTTTATGTAACCCTCATATTTCTAACTTTCAAGAGCATCACACGGTACCTAGTACCCTGTAGGTGCTGAACCAATGAATGAATTTCATTCACTAATTCAGGAAAATACTTTTACATTTTGAAATCTGATAGTACCAATTTTCCTCAGAAAATACAATCATCTTATAGTTTACTATTTAAAAGTTGTTTAACTGTATCCGGAAGTAGTATTTCCATCTTTATGTGGAAACAAACAATGCACCGTTTCAACTCGTTGTTGGAGGAGGTGGGAGACTAGAGCTCTACTGAAAAGTCCACCGGGGAGAGGAGCTGCCAGGCTCTGTGGCGACCCCTCCCTTTGTGCTAAGACTGTCCAACTGGCTGAGAGGCTCAGACAAACCTGAGATGAGCCTGTCCCGCGGTCCGATCGAGGGCTCAGGTGGACTGCAGAGGAACAGTCCAGGGCACCTGAGGCATCAGAGGGCAATCTGTGAGTGTGGATGTTGTTTTAGGACCCCTGCTGTGGTTCTAGTACAGGGGAATTTTCTTCAGTCAAAAAGCAGTTAAAGTCCCGATCTCCACCTGAAAATTAAAGCACTACTAAACAGCCCAATGAGTGTGGAAGTCCTGTATTTGTGTGGCTGACTTGGATGGTGTCAAAATCAACATTATGAAATTGACAGGCTGCACAACATGGATGGAACTAGAGATTGTCATACCGAGTGAAAAAAGGGGGATGGAGAAGAACTATCATATGACATCCCTTATGTGCCAAATCTAAAAAGAAACGATACAAACGAATTTATTTACGAAACAGAAAGAGACTCACAGACTTGGAAAATGATCACAGAGGAAGGATGGGGGAAGGGATAGTTAGGGAGTTTGGGATCGACATGTACACACTGCTATATTTAAAATGGATAACCAGCAAGGACCTACCACATAGCACAGGGAAATCTGCTCAATATTATGTGGCAGCCTGGATGGGAGGGGAGTCTGGAGGAGAATGGATACATGTATATTCATGTAAAGGATCCAACGGCTGAGTCCCTTTGCTGTCCACGTAAAACTATTATGACATTGCTAACTGGCTATATTCCAATATAAAATAAAAAGTTTAAAAAATAAATGCAGTAGATTTTTTTTTCTATTTTCCTCTATTTCCAGAGAAGTAATTTTTTCCGTTTATAAGTGCTCGATGAATACATAATATCTTCCATAAGGTATACCCACTTGAAATACAATGCCTGCATTAGAAATACACCAAAAAAGCAATTGACAGTTTGCATTTTTTTAACCCGTTGACACAGATTTACCTAACTACTTGAACCACATGATTCACTGATAAGCACCCTGTTTTTAGAATGAGT